ATATCACACCTGCTCCCTTTGATTGATTTTATTTGTCACTATAAGTACATTCTTATAGGAAAATGAGCCTCTTGATTTTACTTGGAAATCCCTTATACTGCCACGGGTCGGTCATGTTCTAAAGTAACTGCCCCTCCGGGTCAGATAGTGAAGCTATACCTCTGTGGGTAAGTGGCAGGGTCTCTGCTTAAAAAAGTAGACATACCTAATTGTTAATGATCCAGGAAATAAGGAGATGCCAGGAAAATAAATGGAGCTTGAAAGGCATATTGTACATTGGATAGAGGAATGGGGGAGCGGTATTCCTTTGTCTATCTGGGCTGAGACTGACTTAAGGGGTCGATTGTTTGGGATCCTCTGAGAGAAGGAGGGAAGAAAGCTCTCTGCCAGCTGGATGAAGCCTGGAGCTAGGCAGGGGCCAGTCCTTAGGAGACTCAGTATCTGAACTGGAAGACAATTATAGCCAGCCAGGAGCTTTTCTCTGTATGTTAATTCTCTTTGGTTATCCCTAAGCATTTGACAAGTACTGATAAAGAGACAGCCTCACAAGAGCCCGGGGCAGAGCTAAAAGGAGAGCAGCATGGTGGTGGCATTGTGATTAGTGACAGACTCCCCAGAAGAAGGTGAGTCTCAGTGGACAGGCAGTTGGAATATAAGATCTGGGTATCTCTGTCCATGAGGACATTCGCCCTTCTGCCTTCCTTCAAGGACTCAGACACTATTTTATGAAAAGAGCCCGCCTCACTTTATTCCTTATTAGAATAAATTCTGGGGAGAGGATCGTGTCTTTGTTGAGGAATAAATTAATGTATGCCTTCTGTTTGCTGGACACAGTTCGGTACAAAGTGATACGTGAACAAATAAGTGTAACCGAGGTCTGGGTAGATATGTTTATCAAATATACAGAAGCAAAAATGGTGGAGGGATAGTAAGAATATAAAAGTATTATGTAATTCACAGATCTGAGTCCATTCCCTAACTTCAATCTTCAACCATGTACTCTATCAGCAATTAAGGTCAGAAAACATTTTCTAGTCTGCAGTCTGAATTTTTCATTGCTTTAATACATAAGTGAGTTGAACGCATATTTTATTTGCCTGGAAAAAAGAAGGCTGTGTTGGGGGATTCTATTTATCTGTGGTCTCTGACATGAGGTTCTCTCTCTTAAATCAGGAGTTCAAAGTCCGGGTCCTAGGGCTCATATATGGGTTTCATCCAAAACCATCCTGAGATCAGGGGAGGATAATGCTCAGTGCTAGAGCACATGCCTAGGACACATGAGGTCTCGAGTTCAATCCCCAGTACCTCCATTAAGAATAAGTAAATAAATAAAACTAATTACTACCCCTGTCCCCCAAAAAATTAAAAAAGGAAAGAATAAAACCATCCTGAGAACAATAAAAGTTTTAAAAGATCCCTCACTCATTAAAACATTTTTTTAAAAGGTCATTTTTGTTTTTATCATGTGAAATAAAAGATATGGTTAAGAATCTCTTTGGGTTCTCCTAAGACCTTTGGATCCCTTTTTTGTTCATGTCCATGTTGAAAGAGATCCTACCAGCAATGGAGCACTGACTTTGTATAAAAAACTACATTAGTAACTAGAGAACAAACAACGCTTTATGCGAAAGAAAAATCATAGTTCTTACCAGCTACACATTACATAACCCAGGTATGAAGGTACATTATGAGTACATTTCCATGTATATATATATATATTCTGAACTTTAAAACTTATTCAAATATTTTATAATTTTGGTTCATTCTTAATATTTCTTCTTTAGTGTTCTGCAGTTTCAATATGATATGTTTAAATGGGTTTATGTTTCTGTATCACACTAATATTGTAGTACTTCATAAACATGATAAATAATCATTTCTCAAAAATTATCACCCATTATCTATTCAAATATTGCCTCTCTCTTCCCTATATTTTCACCTTCTGGAACTCCTACTTTCTGATTTCATGACTCAATTATGCTTATATTTTCCATTCATTTCTCTGCATTCTGGGTATTAGCATTGATTATACCAGAGCTAATCTGAATTTTAACCCTTCCATTGTGTTTTTACTTCAAAATTACATTTTTCATTACCAGGTTTTCTATTTGTCTGTTTTTTAAAAAAAATACAAGTCATTCTTTCTTAGGGTTTAATTTCTCCATGTATGTTGTCAACATGTTACATATGCCCATTTTATATTCTCTTTCAATGTTGCTGTATTATCTCAAGTTCTTAAGGTTCCAACACTGCTGTTAAGTCTCATGTTAGCGCTCGCTCATGGATTGTACTGTCTGCCAACTGTCATTCTTGGCTGATTGTTTTTCTGTGTGTTTTGTCAGGTATTGTATTTGTCAGGTATTTGTCAGGTGTATCTTTCGCAGGGCTTGCTGTTTTCTTGGAAATCCTTGGCGGTCTAGATGGTGGGTGCAATTCTTTCAGGATGGTTTTCTGTTTTATTCTGCTAGGAGCCTCAAGGTGTTTTTCAGCTTGAAGATTTCTAGGTCAGTTACATAGTGTAAAAAACAAAAGCAAAAAACAAAGAGTCACGTAACAGGCAGGCCTAAAGAATGAAACTCTTAGGGGAAGATTCTTTTCCTTTTACTCACAGAGTTTCTTGTTCTCACCCTGAGCTAATGGCATATTATTCTAGCCTAACTTTTCACTAAAATATGGGTCCTGGCTTTATGCAGCAGACAGGGATGTCTCAGTTCCAACTTGTAGCATTTGGGAACAAGGCCCTAGCTTCTCTCCATCTCATATGGGCATTAGACTCTATGGTCACCAGATCCTTGATTCCTGGGGCAACCACAGCAATGGTACACAGGCTAAAAGCTCTGGCTTTTAACTTCCTTGCTTTTGGCACATACTAATCTCTTTTATTTTTGTAAAATTGGGTACATGTTAAAGTCATTTTAAATATTTTATCCAGTATTGCTAGCTGTTTGAAACCATAACTTTTTTTTTTAATATTTAGTCTACTCTATTGCCAGAGCTTTGGTGTACAGTTATTTTGTTATTCTTAATTAGTCAGTCTTTTCCAAGCAGAAAAGAAAGTTCAGCTAGACCGTGTTTCCGATCTTGAGAATTTAGAAACTCTTAACATTTTTTTTTATGTACAGAATTCTTCTCCATCTTCAGAAGTGACGGACTGAGACATATTTTTAAGCTCTAAATGAAGTAACTCTTTGATATATCTCCTGGGATCCTGGTAGGACATGGACCATTTCTTGCTAATCACCATTACAAACTGATCACAGTAGACTGTATTAATTGATTTCTAATTAAAAGCTGAGAAAAGGAAGAATTTGAACCTTTTTCTTCTAAAGACCATCTCAAAATGTTATTTCTTACAGTATTAAGGCCTGAGAATATGTAACTGGTCTCAAACAAGATAATTTGTCAGAATTTTCAGTTGTAAAAGACTAATACATGTAAAAATGTTTCTATATAAGTGAACTATGAAACAATGTTTTAGTAAGAGTCATAGAATTTGTCCCCACAGAAATGGCAATTTGAAAAAAAACTGTGATCTTATAATGGAAAAATCTCAGTGATTTGAGATAATGGCTATCCCCATATTTAAAGCTACCAGTGATTGCCACTTTCGCTTACAATCTGCCTCCCACCCTAGGAAAATATATGCAGTTGTTTAAATCACAGGTCAAAAGCATATGGAAGGCCTTCTTTGTACTCTCCACCAGAGTGAAGTAATTTTCTTTATTTCTTTCTCATACATAATAGGTGTGAAATACTGTTGTTTATTGATCAAAATGTTTCAGTTCCTCGATTATTCAACTGGAAAAAATAAAAACCAAGCCAGAGTAAACAGTGATGAAAAGTAACAGAATCTTCTGGAAGTAACAGATATAGACAAGACCAAACTCTTATTCTGAAACATGGCTTACTCTTAAATTTATTATCGTAACTCTGAAGTGGCACAGGGGTGCTCATTATGAATTGAAGTACATTAAACTATTTCTATCCATCTCTCTGCTGTCCAGGTTCTATCTGGGATTCCTGAACTAAGGGAGAAAACTACTTATTCTCTAAATAGTAGATAATGTAAAAACTAGATAAATCAATAAGGGAGTAAACCACATGTGAAGAAAGCATTGGGGAACGTTTTCAGGACAACTTGGAATTATTACTTTATTTAGTCTCTCTCACTAGTAACATATAACCACAAGTTTCTGAAATCAAATTATTTCCCCCACACAGCAACAAGTGATCATAGAATGATCAAGTGATAAAAAGAACAAAGAAAAGATACTGTCTATGGGATAGTCTAAGTTTTTAAAAAAAAAAATAGCCTTCATAAGTCACTTAATTTGCCGCAGGTTACATTAGCAAACGAACGTAACCCTCAGGCTTAGGAGATCTCAAGTCTAAGCCAATTTAAAAAAAAAAAGTCCATTTATGTTTTAAACATATACCCTCAGAGCAAATTTGGAAATAGCTGCATTCAGAATACCCAGAGTTGATTTCTTGTTCTGTTTTTTCTTGGCATATTATCTCCTTGCTACTCAAAGTGTGGTCCATGGACCAGCAGCCTCCACATCTACTCAGAAATTGTTAGAACTGCAGAATCTTGGGCAGCTTCAATCCTACGGAATCACAATCTTCATTTTAACAAGATCCCTAGGTAATTCATGTGCCCATCCAAGTTTGAGAAGCTCTGTACTAGGAGACAGAAACATTTTCTAACTTAACATCAAATACAAGATTTCTTTTGGGGCTGATGACAATGTCCGGAATTAGTGGTGATCATTCTATGATCACCAACTTTGTGAATATACCAAACGCCACTGAACTGTTCACAACTTAAACGGGTGAATTTTATGGTACGTGAAATATATCTTCATTTTTTTTAAGGAGAAAAAGATAAGCAAAAGTAAACGCTTTCAAACTGTGCAGCACATAGATGATAGAAACCAGTTCCTTTTTTTTTTCTTTTAAATCTTGGGAGGAAATTCGATGCACCATTTCCCGTAGCTCACCTCTTACTGCGAACGAGATCCACAGCAGGCCTTGATTCTGGGGAGCCCTGACCAGTGATCTGAGGACACACCCATGCATCCTGCCCTGCCCTCCCCAGAGAGACAGAGGGACAGAGACACACAGAAACCGAGAAAAAGACACGCGCGCGCGCACACACACACCCCCTCTAGAGCTCCTTGCTGTAGAGCCGCTGCTGAGAACTGCCTTCCTCGGGAAACCGCACGCGGATGGATGTGACATGTGAAGAAACCAGACTGCCCAATCAAAGGGCCAAAGAGGCGCGCTATCTGCCAGCTGCACCTGCGGTCCCGGGCGTGTGGGGGAGGAGAGACTTCTTCCTCATTCAGCTCTCTGCCTGCCCCTGCCACCCTCTTCCCTCCCATAAAGAAACTGCAGATTCTAAAAATCTCGTAGTTATCCAGAGTCCTCAACAAACGACCCTCTTTGGCTTCTGCAGTTAGGATTCTCCGCACCTGCAACAGGCTAGGCCCTTGTGAAGGCTTCGCGCCGGGGATGGGGAAGCCTAGAGGTCCTATTTCTCCGGTGAAACAGAGGCGGGGGAGAGGACGTCTCAGGGAAAGTCCATCCCCCGCCCCTCCACACGCGCATCTTCTAACTTTTGCGGCGGTCCCGCGGCCTGAGGACCCGAGCGCGCCGCCCGAGGGGCTACGGCG